GATCACCAGCTTCTCCTGCCATGTGTCAGTGGATCACCAGCTTCTGCTGCCATGTGTCAGTGGATCACCAGCTTATGCTGCCATGTGTCAGTGGATCACCAGCTTCTCCTGCCATGTGTCAGTGGATCACCAGCTTCTCCTGCCATGTGTCAGTGGATCACCAGCTTCCTGACAGGCAGGATGCAGCAGGTGCGGCTGGGGAAAATCATGTCCTCCTCACAGACCATCAGCAGTGGTGCCCCTCAGGGATGTGTACTCTCTTCACTGCTCTTCTCTCTTTACACCAATGACTGCACCTCTAATGACCCGACTGTTAAACTCCTGAAGTTTGCAGATGACACTACAGTCATTGGACTCATCAGTGATGACAACGAGTCTGAATACTGACAGGAGGTGGAACGACTGATGTCCTGGTGCAGCCAGAACAACCTGGAGCTGAACACGCTCGACTGGAGAGATGAGAGTGGACTTCAGGAGACACCCCCCTGCACAGTCTTCAGCAGCCCCGTGTCTACGGTAGTGTCCTTCAGGTTCCTGGGAACCACCATCTAACATGACCTGAAGTGGGAGCCCAACATCTCCTCTATCCTCAAAATGGCCCAGCAGAGACTGTACTTCCTACACCAGCTGAGGAAGTTGGACCTACCTGAGGAGCTGCTGATCCAGTTCTACACTGCAGTCATTGAGTCCATCCTGTGTACATCCATCACAGTCTGGTTTGGAGCAGCCACAAGGCAGGACAGGAACAGGCTGCAGCGAACAGTGAGGATGGCTGAGAAAGTCAACGGTGCCTCACTGACCTCCATTCAGGACTTGTATCGCACAAGAACCAGGAAACGGGCTGAGAAAATCATCACAGACTCCACTCACCCGGGTCACAACATGTTCCCAGTCCTCCTGTCTGGCAGACTCTACAGATCTGTGTCCACTAAGACTGTCAGACACAAGAACAGTTTCTACCTCCAGACCATCACCATCTTCAACAGCTGATCATCAGACATCCATCATATACTCTATACTACAGAGAACTCTGTCACTATTATTATACACAACTGCATTACTGAAACTCTGCTCTGCTGCTGTCGTATTTTTACTTGATATTAACTGTAAAAACTGTTGTCATATAGTTTTTGGTAAAGTGAAGTACAATGTGAATCTTTCTGTATAAACTGTAGTGTAATGTGTGTGAATTATATGTTTAGTGTCTGTACAGTGTTGAAACCAGAGAGTCACGAACTGCCGGAAACAAATTCCTCATGTATGTGTGTCAACATACTTGGCCAATAAACCTGATTCTGATTCTGATTTTCAGACGAACAAGACAAATAATCTTACACATTCTGAAAACAAGATGATTATTCTTACACAATCAGTTCTTGTTTAGTAAATCAGTCTGAAAACAAGATCAAACAGACTTTGACTGATATAAGGTTTTAAAACTTGGTTAGGTGGACAGTTTTTGCAGTGTTGGTGTGAGTGACAGAGTGAATGGTTGTTTGTCTCGCTTGTCTCTTTGTGTGGTCCTGTGATGGACTGAGACCTGTGCAGGGTGTACCCCGCCCTCATTGTGACTGCTGGATATGGGCACCAGTGACCCTAGAAAAGGAATAAACTGTTATAGATAATGTATGGATAGTTATTTACCTTCAAAAAATATCTAAACTAAGTGTGACTTACACCACGGGAGCTGAATTCAGTGAGTATAAATCAGTCAAGTGAAATGCGAGTTGTTTGTCTTCTCTTACCATTTATCCTAATCTTGTGTGTCACTGTGTTTACAGGCGTGGAAACTGTAAGAAAGCCTCAATGGGTCTGCTGTGTGACGTTGGTCTCCGGTGCAGAACCTACTACGTTGTGTGTGGCTCTGTACTCAGTGTGTGGAATGAGCTGGAAGAAGTTCTGTCTCCGGTCAGTGGAACAAACGTGAAGGTGCAGATTGTCCGTCTCAGAACAGAAGATGGACAGAGGATCGTTGGTAAGTTAAACCAGAGAGCTTCTTAACCTTTTTGACCTCAGGGCCCAGTTTGTTTAACATATAGAGCCACGAGGTCCAGTCAGACTTTACCAATGTATGGATCAAAATGATGATTATTATAAATGTTGGAGTAATTTTTATTGTATTTACTTCATAACTAAACTATCATAACTAACATAACTAAATTAAATACACTTACAGTTTAAAAGTAAAACTCCTGTCAAATAATCACAAGACATGATTATGACAAACATTTTTATATTGTAACCTGCCCATAACAATTATTTGAACAAATACAAAGGTAAGTCAACAGACCACTCAGAGCGTTTTTAAACTTTTGCAACCAGAAGCTGCTCTTCATTTTAGTGACAAACAATAACAGTGACAACAGCTTTTTGACAAGTTAAAAT